GGAAATGGAAGAAGCAATAAAAACAGAGAAGGAAGAGGGGGCAAAAATCCAATGATGCAAGGAACTGAGAAGGAAGAAATGCTTTAGGAAAGAGTCAAACCAGAAGAGTTATCGGCAACTAGGAGTCATCTGTGCCCTAAGCACACCAGCCATCCTGTGTACATGTCACCACATGGCATCACCCTTACAGGACAAGGTCCCTTGGAAGAAGTACCTAGCCCTTCCTTGGACAAGATCAGTTGGGGAGTAGTGAGCAGGGGTGATATATACCACAGCTGTCCAAAGCTGCTTTATCCTTCTCAGCAACCAACATCCCGACTTTGGAACACCTGCTGTCATCACTGCAAAACTGAATTTTGCCATCATCAGGACAAAATTAGTTATCTTCTTTCTTGTTATCACAAAAAGGCAATGTCAACTCTCCTCCAAGAGAAATTTTTTTCATTATAGGAAGCTTAGCATGTAAGTCCTAGAGCTAGTATTTACTTATACAGCCATTTACTTCATTAATATTGAGATTACTGTGACATTGTTTGAATCCCAAAATCAAATATCTTAAGATATGTTATGGAATATTATGAGGCTTATTCAATTCTGAATGCAAAAAACTACATGAAGGTGGGGCAACAGTTCAGTCACCCTTTTAAATACTAAAAGGAAAAAAAAATCAAAAGGATCCATACACATAAAATCAGGCATCATCACATTAAGCTACATTACTCAACATCCCCTTTTCAACACCTTATGAATACAAACAAATTTTACATGCATTAGGTGCCATTTTTGAGATTCATATTATGTTCAGTACTAAATACATCAAAGCCATTGTTTGTAAAATTCTACTTAAAGGCAAAATTGTGTATTAACACACAGTTTTAATTCTTATATACCTTACAAAGTATTTTAAAGTTTTAAAGCATTGCCTCCAAAGGAGACAGACATGACCAATGGGCAATATGAGTCAAATTAACAGGCAATATTAATCAGAAAAAAAATAAACTCATCCCTTAAAATTGGGAGATGAGAAACTAGCTCAAAATCTCAGCTTTACCTTCTCCTATCTTAACTACACAAAGTCTTTTCCTCATAACCTGAAGCTTTATAATTTAAATGTGACATTTGCACAGGTACTCAAAGGAAAAATTCCCCAAACATCAACAGTTATAGAAATAAATAAATGACACTAAATCTAATACCTAGTACTTAGGTTACTACATCATTTAATCCAAGCTAGGTGTTACTGCATGATCTACTGAAGTTTCTTTGGATCATGACATACTAATCTGGCAATGTTTTTTTCAATATAAGCTTCCTCTTTTACCTTTCTAAAACATCATTTGAGCAGGGAGTCTATCTGACCTGCTTTTTCACACACAAAAATATCATTCAAAATGAAATCATAGTACTGTTAATTCGTTTTTAATCATGACTTTTTGCAACAACAGGAATATTGTTAAATAAAATAAGCATATTAAAGTCCCTTTTTCAATAAAAACTTAAAAAGACTTTCCCTAAAAAAAATAGGTGGAACAGAAACAAAGGATTCTAAAAGAAAACATTTTTGGTGCTTTCAAAACAACTATACATTTGTTAAGTTAGAAGAAGAGATGTCAGTTGCCAAAAGAGGGGGAAAAAAAAAAAAGTCTATTTCAAAAAGAAAGATCACACCACATCAACTATATTGTTCTTCAAAAAAACAGCCTGCTTAGCTTCCAGAAAGGGTTGATGATGGGAAAAAATGCGTATAACCGCAACTAGAATTTTCCAGCAGTGATGCAGTACTGCTTCAAATGTGACTGTGTGGTAAATCAAAGAAATAGAGAAGGAAAAGTATGATCCAGTTCTTAGTGAATCATCAAAACCAGTTGTCTGTAGATAGACCAAACATCAGAAGTCTTATCAGCTAAACCATCTGTCTCAACAATCAAGAGTGATAGAACCCAGGCACTATCTTCCCTTCTCCAAATAAATCTTCTTTCTCTGATTTGCAAATTAGAGAACATCGCCTACTAAATAGGAGTATTTATTTTGCTATTAATGGGTTTTCATTATATTACAAATTGGGGTTTGGTAGTTTTAAAATGCAGCATTTATACATTTCTAGAAGATATTGCAATGAGGCTGCAACAAAATTTTAGATTTATAGGATTAAAATGAGCACTAATTCTACATTATAGTCAAAAACATGTATTACCTACTGGCACTAAATGTCTTGAAAACACGCAACACCTCACATTCGGAGAAGAGCTCACGTGTTACAAGTTGAGATGAATATGTATGACTGTGTGATCAAAAAAGGGAAAAAAATAAGACTGACATACTGACAAAGAAGAAAAAAATCAGACATACCTTTGCACCCGTTTCCTTCTTGTCTAAATAAACAAGGAATGAGGCTAACGTTGCATTTATGCAACTTTCCAGTTGCAACACTACATACAAGTCAAGAAAACTAAAATCATACTTTTCACAGCAATTTTAACCCAGCTACATTTTGTATGTAATGAAGTTAGAATTACAGTATATTATTCTGCCTCTTAAATACTACAAACACCAAAGCGGGAATGTGGGAGTCCTAACTCTGATTTTACCAGCTTGTACGAATTCAAGATCTCAGAGACCTTTGCATTAAACATGCAAACAAGCCTATAACACTAGTTAATAGCAATTTGTTTATTCTATTTATGAACCCACTGCTGCCCCTGGTTCTTGTAGCAGCATATGGAAACAACATTAAGAATGTAAAAAAACCTATGTGCTCTGTTCAATCTTGATTTTTTTAAAGTTAATTTTATTTAGATGAAACACAGAACTTTTTATTTTTCTCTTTTGCACAAGCATAAATCTGGTAACACGCCATTGTCATGCACTGGTTAAAAGCTAACACGATAACAAAGACTTGGAATTCTGCCCCCACACCCCGAGTAGGAACAGTGATTATTGCTCCCCTTCAATTCTTCCATTTTCAGTCCTATCAAATTAAGTATAAAGCTTTTTTCACTACTACAATGAAGGAAGTTTGCGAGTAGTCTAAAACACGTCACTTCAGCATGTTAACCCAACTCAGAGAAAACACCTGTAACAGGCTTTATGTTCCTACCTTGCCTTTCAAAATATTTTTTTTTATATTTAAAAAAAACCCTGAAAGCGTATTTTATTGAAACAATTTTGTGACAACAAAACTGTGGTAACATAACCGTCACTCTGACTGAGGTAGACATAAATAGGAAAAAATGAAAAGAAAATAAATTACTGGCTTAATTGACAAAGATTAATGAACTCTTGTCTCAGAACTAAGCACGATGACTCCACAAAAAAAAAAAAAAGTTTAATCTAAATATCACCTTGTTAAAGATCAGACTGACTCCAAACCAGCTTCCCTGAGTCACACATGCCAGAATTCAGTTAATTAGTAACTATAAAGGTGCATGAAATAATGCATGCTCATGTAAAAAGGTGTTAGAACCACCTCATGAGGCATTTGTTTTACATATTATACTCAAATATTAACATAGAAATTTCATTTAAGAGGAATTAAGTCTATGCACACCTACAGCTTAGGATGCCAGAACCAGTTCAGTTGGAAGTCTTATCCTGAGAGTTCCCAAAGCTATGTCAGAGTCACCATTATAGTCTGCTTTTAAGCTTTTTCAAGTCAACAGCACTAATAACCAGCTGTTTCTACTGGAAAAAAAAATGCTAGCGAGACAGACATCTGTACTGTGTAGCTGCCAGGTTTACTCAGTGTGTGGCCGCAGGTGTTGACCCTGATGTTTGTAGGAGCCAAAAGAGAAAGACAAAAGGAATTGGCATTAAAAGCTGTACTAACAGAAGGCATCCAATATTCAAGTTTCATGAAAGTAATTTTAACTGTCAGATCTTAGAAGCATGACTCACTTTTCTTCTCTGATTTGATTCTGGCTATATCCAGAGGACAAGAGGAAATACAAGAGGTTTTGTACAAAGTAAGTTAAAGGTTATGACCCTTTCATTGCCGTTCGTGAGTACCTGACTCAAAGAGGTATGACCCAGACAGCCTGGTACTTGTGAACCTCAGCAACACTTCCACTACTTCGATACTTCTGCTTGAAGAGTATCGTGAAAGTCTTAAAAAATAAAATCCACTAATTCTATTGTCAAGAGTTTATGATGAACATTAACTTCAGCCAGTACGATACTCCATAAAATCAGAACATTTTTAAGCAAAACTTATTTTTATGTCATAGCTAAGCAAACATTTCTGTCAATGAGTAGGAAGTTACACACGTAAGAAAAAATTAAAATTAGATATTACCATAAGTTCTAGGAAGTACCGCAGCCAGGAATTCAATACAAATTATTACAGCAACCCTTAAGTACAAATGGGAAACAATGTAGTAGCTACTTAAAAACCATCCACAGCAGAAAAAAATAATGAAGATGAATTACCAACAAGAACATTGTGAAATGTTGTAAGTCTGTAATATTTAATTTGTTCCCCTAATAACACTGGAAGAAGACTGAAAACTTCAATGAAAAATTTGTCTTGTATGTGAAACTTCACACACGTATCTAATGAACAATATTGATTTTTACAATGGAAGCGATTTTAATTCCATTGTCTAGCATCTAATTACAGTTTACAGATTTTTTTTTTAGTATGCAACACAAACTATTTCATATTCAAAGCAGCTAATACTTTACAAATAATAGGTTATAACCATATTAGAATATGCTAAGTCATACTGTTAAACACACATCTACTGTGCAAAGTGGTTTTGCATCTGGACTATGGAATAGATCATAATAAGGATGAGTGACCGGAGCTAAAATAATGTAATTACACAAGTGGCTTATTAAATCTATATTGCTGCTAATGTCAAAAGTCATGCTAAAGACCTTAGAAATTCTTTAAATTCAAAGGAGAAGACCTGTAGGTACTTAACAAAGTATTTGTTGGACATAAATATATTCTACACAAAACCCTCTTGAAAAAAAGTAAGATACTACAAGAAAGAAATTACCTGGAGTGTCTTGTAATGATCTTGATGCGAAATTACTTTTTCCTTTTTTTCCTTCAAGAAATCCATTTCTAGAATACTATGTTTTTCCAGTAAATATTCTAATTCCTATGAAGTTTACAAAACAAAACACACGAGGTTACAAACGTTTGCAAATTGTGAAAATACAGATTCAGTTAATCATTCCAACTGATTTTATTTCTTAAGATCACGACATCCGCTACCATAATATACAGAGAGATAAAAGGGCTGTCCAAGAAAACTCTGATTGCAGTCTTTAAATTGAGACAACATTTTCAAGAAGTACAAGGTATTTAAAATCAAAGGCATGTCCTGAAAGGTGAGTCCTGTGAGAAGCTGGGCTTCTCTAGGTTGGAGGAGGCTGAGGGGCAACCTCATCGCTCTCTACAGCTTCCTGAGGAGGGGAAGTGGATATGGGGGTGCTGAGCTCCTTGGGATCCAGTGCCAGGACACATGGGAATCATTCAAAACTGCACCAGAGGAGGTTCAGACTGGACATTCTCTTTAGTGTTTCCAAACACTGGACCAGGCTTCCTAGGGAGGTGGTTGATGCCCCCAGCCTATCAGTGTTCAAGAGGCATTTGGACAACCTCAACTTTTGGTGAGCCCTAAAGTGCTCAGGCACTTGGACCAGGTGATTTTTGTAGGCCCCTTCCAACTGGAACTATTCTATTTTTTTCCATATTTTTAACAACTTGTTTTGCCTTTCTGCATTTGAAAAGCAACTTGTTAAATGTACTTATAGCAAATGGCTTCGCTAAAAAGGCAGAAATCTCATTACATATAGCACTACATCTCCAAAATTAATAAAATTTTAAAATATTGAGTGATCTTGCAGAGAGCCAGTTGAGAAGCCTGCCCAATATGAACCAATAAAGAGGAAGGAGAATGACACTAATCAGAATAAACTTAAAAATCTTTAGGTCTTTGTGTAGCAAATTTTTTTTTTTTTTTTTATGCAGCTGTTGCTCCTACCAAACTAATTTCTACTATACATAAGCTGTTGGCATCCTTTCAGTTGCTCAAGAACAACTATTTCTGCAGCCATGCAGGAAGCCAGTATAGAAACAAATGACCTGCCAGATCACTGTGCAGCTATTCAAACAAAGGCACAACTGAGAGGGTCAGGAGGAGGACAGAAAGAGCAGGTCTGCTTAGTTCAATCCTGCTTTTGGATGAAATAATAAAAACAGTTCTTGAGATTCAAAGGTTTTGATTCACTTGTAGAGATAGAAACTGATCTCTTAATCTTTGGCTCTAGATACCCATCCTCATTTTCATTTCCAACAAGCCATTTCCTCCTTCCCGAGCACACCTTGATAGCTATCAAGGAACAGCATTAAGAATAGCAGAAATTTAACTTATTCTCCCATGCCTCAATGACCTTTTGCTAACTCAGACACATAACTACAGGCAGAGCCCTGTTTCACATTCAGGTCAGAAGGAATATGAAGTATTTAGTTACCAGAGCTGCCAGGAAGAAAAAAAAAAAAAAGCAACGAACCAAAAAAAAGAACCCCAAATGTGATGTATATTATGTTCATACAAATAGCCAAAGACACTTTCAACTTCAGTGACCACACACTCACTCCCAAAACATGGGGCAATCACTACACCATCTAAACACATGGCTCCATGCTAGCAAAACTTGTCTTTTCTTTGTTTGTTTGTTTTCCACTCCAGGAAAAAAATATTTTTTTTTCCTGAAACTTTAGAAAAAAATCTGCCTAAAATAGACACCAGACATGTTTAAAAAAAAAATCATTTTGGCTAATTTTGGTCTATTTATCTGGAATTTGGCTACAAAAAATACCCTGCAAATCACTACCAGTTCCCACTATATTGAAATCCTATGTAAACACCAAACACTTCCATTAAAAAAACCCTATTCATACCTTTTTAATTTTTAGTTTTTCTTCTTCAGCAGTGCAAAGCTTGACTTCTAGGTTTGCAACAGCTTGTTGAAGGTAGCTCTTTGGTTCATTTGTTCTCTGTGTCTCAGCGTCAACCAAAGCAATGGGTGATGTAACCAAAGTCTTGTCTTCAACTACATTCAAAGAGGCAACTGGAATATCTGCTTGAATCTAAATCATACAAAAGACAAAATGGTAAAGGAAATTTAACATTCTAGTCAAGTAGAATTTCGTTTCCAGACGACAAGACAGAATTTAAGAACTGCAAATACTAAGGTTACATTTTTTAAACCACACTTCTCTGAAACTGGCCATGCAAACTCTCATACGTAGGATGTGCTGGCTGAAAAGAAAGCTCCAACAATGGAACAGTAGCTAGTAATTCTAGATGGATTTACATCAACCCTTTTGATCTCAGCTGCTTTTCAAGAATACTTAAGGAGATGGCTTTAAGAAGGAGGATGGAACAGATATTTCCGTTTCCAATGAGGTCAAAATACTCAAAAGAGGCGAGAAGACACAGACATAAAACTGAATCATCTGTCTCAAAGCATCAGGCTTACAGGGAAATAAACTCTCCTTGGATTGAGCACTCAATGTTTTCACCCAATGCAGACTGCAAACAGTAGCCATGGAAAGGGAATACAAATCTTTTGCGTTAAAATAAATATCTCATCTTGAGGCTAGACCAACAGAATAAGAGTAATTGGGACATGTCTACAACATTTAGTTCATGTTATTTCAGTGAACTGTAGAAGTACAAAAAACTGAGACGGAGGCTTCTAGAATACACAACCCAAAAGAGATGAAACACTGATAATAAGCCCATATTTTCAGAAAAGCACAAAAATAAATTAAGTGAGGTTTAAAATATTTTGTGGTGTAATTAACAAAAGCCAAAGCTTTTTTTTTTCCCCTTCTTAAAAGAAAAAGTCAAAAATTTGTTTATATCACAGCAAATGAACTTCAAAAGAAGAAGCTGGTAAATTAATTTCAGCTGCCACTTTTTCAACAACAATTTGAGAGCCAAGAGCACTTGAGATTTGGGGAGGGGTGGTGAAAGACACATCTCAATGTGTTTATTAAAAGAGGTTTGACTGACCTGATTTAATCCATTCCCTTAATACCTTTTATTCCAAACAGACACTTAAATAATACATTATTTTTCAATAAATAAGTATCTCTCAAAGGATTCAATGAAAACAGGAAACAAAAATAGCTGAGACCTTGACTGTACATGGATACAAAAGGTCCAGTAGGCAAAACAGCTACAGAGAAAACTGCAATTTGTACTCTGAATGCCCCTTCTCTAAGAAGGAAAGAGAAGCTCGATGTGCCAATTATCAAGATTAGAGTCTGGCACTGCCAAAAATTGTGATGTTGGAACCTGAAACGTTGAGGTTTATTTAACATGAATCCTCAAGAGGTTCTAGAGATAGAGTTATACAACAATACAGTTCTAATATCCTCTTTGAACAAGTGTAAGAATATTTTATGATGGGTTTATGCCCACCATTTTCCTTTAGTTTCATCCAAAAGTACAAAGTCTCATCTCCATTTCAAAATAACGTTAAAGGACCTCCTCTCAACAACAAGCAAGCATTTAGTCACACTTGCTAATTTTAGTATTCTTTAGTTTGTTATTTCCTGCATTAAACAGAGAATTTACGAAACCATGTGTCTGTCAGCAGCTGACCAGAACAAGATGAGAAAAACTGAAACATAGCCTACAACTAGAATTTGCACACATAGTTACTCAGAAGTAATATAGTGTATTTCTTACTTTTAGTAAGATTACCTAACCAAATGACTTCGTAGTTTTAAAAAATACACCTAAGCCTTAGTATTTTGGAATATCCAAATTTTTCTTTCCAGAGAATACACAAGCTAAAATTGCTGGCCTGAGGCAAAAAAGGAAGGATAGAGGCTATTCACATTTCACTGTTAGCCCAAATCAAAAAGGGTAGGATGTGTTGTGGCTGAAGAAAAGCATATTTTGATCATCCTGCCAGGAATAAAAATGTATGTATCAAAACATTGTTTTCAACACAGAAAATGACCCTGGCTGGCATCAGTCAAAAAAGAAAACACTCTCCCCTCTCAAGAAAAAAAATAAACCACAACTTTTGGATTTCTAAGAAATTTCTTTTGTATCATTTGCATCTGGGCACATCTCTTCACTTTTTATAGGCTTTCCCCAGAACATTAGCCTGGGAACAAATAGAAACCAGTTACTAATTCATTACTAAGACTGAACTACTGGAGCTGTATTAGCCACAGTCTTTCTGGAAGTGTGAACATACAGATGTTGTAAAAAGAAAACCAGTAAGAGTCAGTTTAGTCAAAACAAGTATTTTGTACACTTTGTTCAAATAGCTCTAGAGAAATGCTTTTAAAAGGTCAGATTATGGAAATTTGACTTAATCATGAAATTCAACCTTCACCATGAGGAGCCCTAGGACTTGATGAGACTACCTGAAGACTAATTAACCAAAGTAAGTGCTGAAAACAGGAGGGTCACAAACCACTCCAAAATACTGACTGCTTCAGAGAAAGAGACAAGCACTTTCTAATTCAAGTATATACCATTATGCATCATGAAGCAAGGAACTTTACAATCAATAAACTTGTTCAAATAGGCATCATTGCCATCAATCTCAAAAATTCACTTGGGAGGGTAAATCTATTGAATTCTCATCCACAGCAATCTAGCATTCCTCTTCTAAACTCCAGGAAGAAATTATTTTCCCTTCCTTGCTCACCTAAACGTTTAGTTAAAAACCGAACACCTTCACCCTCCAAAAAGAAGCTAAGAGCAGTTCTGAGCAGTATTGCAGTCACAAGGAGAGAACATGACTGCACAGCTGGGACTCTGCCAGATCACCAAAAAAAAAAAAAAAGTTAAAAAAAAAATTAAAAATCAACTTTAAAAGTAATGGGAGGAAAAAATAGAGTAAAATATAATAAAATAAAAAATAAAACCAAAATTAATTCTAATTAAGTAAAGATTAAAGCTTAATTCTCTAATCCTAAAACCACTTGAGAAAAACATAATTATAGCTGTAGTCTTTATAGTTTTAACAGTAACCATTTTTTTAGAGAATATTCCTGCTGTTGCTTCCTACTTTCATGCCTAGCGCTATCAGCGTACTTTTAATAACTCTTTAATACAATTATCTTTTGCAGTCCAGACCAAAGTAGTATGGTGTCTCCCAGTTATAGGTTTTAAACATAATTTTAAAATTTTAAATTTTAAAATTTAAAATTATTTTCCTTCAAAGTATCACAGAAATCCAAGGACATTTTGCTCTTACAAGACAATTCAATCTAAATTTGCACAGAAAAGATACAGTGCTAAGATACTTAATACATCATGTTCCCATACCGAAACACAAAAATTGTGGTTTTACCTGTTCTTCGAGACCAGCTGGCTTTATAATGTTGTTGGCTGTTTGAATAGCTGTTGCCACGTTATCACTCGATAAACTGAATGAGTCAGAAGGAACCAGGCAGGAAGAAGGCACAGAGCGCTCCAGGAGAACATCAGGAGATATATGGACTTCAGATACTAATGCAAGAAATAAAATCAGCATTCAAAAATTGATTCTGTTTCTGAAATCTCTGCCTAGCAAAACTTGTCACACTAGCAACTAGTCGTACTAATGTAAGGTTATATCTAATTGCACTGAAAAAAATAATTCCACATGAAGTTCGTGTATTTTTGAGAATAATCAACTTAAGGACATTCAAAATTGTACAGACACACTAAACTCAGACTCGTAACCTACACGGAGGTTTCACAAGACAACTGACATCAAAAGCAGGAGTTTTAACTTTGTCTCTTTCCATTCACATAACCTTTCAGCTTCAGCATGACCTTCAATCAACTGAAGTCAACCGTAAAGCTGTACTTAGGTTTTCCTAAGTTTTACAAATTTTAAAGGTAAAAAAAAAAATCCTCAGCTGTCTTAGAAGACATACACAAACAGCTTACCAAGACACATGATAAAAGCAGTTTTATATTTTATAAGAGATCAGAAGATAACAAAGCAGGTAACTCTCTAGCTAATGAAATTTAAGTGTAAATTATACTGGAGTGGGAGCTCTTCCCTAACAGTCTCCAATTATACTATAAAAATCCTGAACAGTGGATCATCATTATTAACCTGGCACAACAGAAACCTGAGAGCTTTTACAAAAGATAATTATTTTTTTTTTAGTTTATGAATGAAAACTTTGCATATGTTTTTAATTTAAAGGCAAAGTCCTGCAAACTTTGATACGGTCAGCTACAGGTAAGCCTTTGCAGCAGACAAAAAAAGTATATCCAATTGCTTTAGATAAAGCAGCTCACATTATCATTACAAATCTGGCAAAATGTAAAAGATGCTACTAGCCCAGAGCAAGGCTCAGCCTCTCGGTATCACTGTTCATTACTGCACACACAGTACAGGCAAGTGTATACATAGGTCTCAAGGCATTCAAAAGGACACACTAATCCTTGAATCCAGGTGCTTCATGTCCCGTCTTTTTACCTCTCAGTTCTGGGATTCGGGTCGAGAGGAATGTGCAAACCTCATCTAACAAAAAGAATAAAGAAAACAGACCACGAGACAGAAAAATATCCGAATGCTAATTGCAGCAATAGTAGATTTGGACGTGTGGGAAAAGGGAAAAAAAGTCGAGCAGAAAATGGAAACTTGGAGGAAAAGCCTAGAGGACAATACTTCAGCAACCAGAAGAGGAACCAGTTTAGGTAACCAGGGCAAAACAAAGGAGTGGGACACAACTGTAAACTCTTCTCCAGAACTTGAAATGGGACTTTTTAGGCTTCCTTTAGGTACCATAAGACGTCTGTGAAACCCCCCTCCCTTTACAAATGTCCGCTTACAAAGGCAGCTTCCTATAACCATTACCTAATAGCAAGGTGACAAAGATGATCTTTTTGCTTCTAAAAAAAACAGTAAAGCCTCTATTTTATAATATCACTTAATACCCTGAATTCAATTTCCAACAGATGGAAAACCAACTAAAATAATGTGCAAGGCAATTCTGAGTGGACAAGCTGTTTCTCTTACAAAAACTGTGGGCTCATAAGAAAAAAAACCTAGGATGACACTGATCCATTGTGGAGTTAGCATTCATCCTTTGGTGATGCTCACCACAGTACAGGCATAGTTCACATATAAATAATTTCCCACAGAAGTAAAACCAGAAACCGAGTCTGGATATGGATGAGGAATGGAGACTCACAGAGATTAAAGCTCAAGGTAGTAAAATATTTTGGGGTAGCCAATATTAAACATAAGACTTCTTTTTTTCAGAGAATACAGTTTTATGTGGAACCTTCTATAATCAAATTGAGCTTTCAGTGATTCCAGTTATAGTAATGAATGCTTAGCATTTTGAGGGAGAAGAAAAAGCAGAAACAAAAAACCCACCTCTTAAGTTGTCAAAATAAAACCTAGGAAATGAGGAGGAACAACTGGTGACCACCTCTGAACACTGTGGTTTAAAATTATTCAACTAAATACATGACCTTGCAGAAGACAAGAAAAGGCGGCAACTCTCCAAGGTATCATTCAAACAACTTTTTTTACAAAACCTTCTTTTCACTTTCAGCAACGTTAAAAGATTCAGAGGTTCGACATTCCTAGAATTACACGTGCTATGTCTGTAATTCAAGCTTTCTTAATTCATTCCTCTTGTGTATATATGGGTGAAATTGCATTTAGCACTTTAGTTCAGCTCAAAATTCGCTTATGAAGACGACCCCTCAACCATGCCTGCTTGCCGTGCCTTAGTTATCATAAAGGAACAGTTTCAGGACCCCTGACAGAAAAACTTGCCTCTAATAAAACTACCTGACTAGACTCCCAAAAGCTGTTGGATGTTCAAGTCCACAGGATCAGGCTAACACTGCTCTGAAATCAAACTGCTGAAGTGCCTCCAGTGTGGATCTTGGCTTTTCAGCACCATTTTACAGACCCTCTCCTCTTCAACTGCTGCATCACCTGGTATGATACGTATTCTGATAATAATGACAAAATATTCCTCCACAGTATCCTGCCCTGATGCAATATATCACCTCAAACTTCTTCAATAAGGAAGGCAGAAGTCTGACATTCCTGAATAACTTCCAAATAAAATGGTTGTTGTTCATTGATCAAAGCTGCAGTACTATAAAGAAAAGCAGTACGTACCAAATTACACGTATATCAAAAGTCATATACCCAAGAAAGCTGAAATAAGATGCAGATATAAGTTATTGCCAGAACTGTACCTATAAAAAAAAACCCAAAACTGATAGTTTCTGAACCCCTGACTTCCCAATATTAAGAATAATCTAGCACAGGTTTGTATGTATGAACAGACAAAACCGTGCAGTTTGTTAATAGCAGAGATCAGTAACAGCCTGCAGTCTTGCTCATGCAAGAAAAAAATCTGTGTCTTTATCCTAGTCATGAAGCTCAAAAAATTACTGAAATCACTGGGGGGGATCAGAAATTGTGAAAACAAAACCAAGTGGATGAACGTGAGCTGTTAAATCAACATTCCATGAGAGTTGGATACTACCTACTGAGCTTCAGAATGAAGACATTAGATATGAAACATACCACTGAAAAAATAAACATGAGTAACATTTACTAATTCGATATTATTTATATCCAGCATTTAAGAGATTATATGTCAGCAGGGCTCTGAGCAAAAGCCTATATAATAATTATTTGACATACTTTTGCAGAATGTTGCAAACTACTTGCAGCACAGTTCCTCTACACGTAGGTTTCAGATGTTAAAAATAAAAACCCCATGAAACAAAAACTAAATTTCCATCCTCAACTACCCATGTCTTCAATGATACAATTCAATGACCCTTTAAATTATACCGTGCACACTGTAAACTGTATAACTGAACGTTTTTCAGTTTAAAGTAACATTCGGATAGAAAGTTTAAGACTGGTTTTGTGTGTCCAAAGCTCAGTGATCTGCTTAAATCCCAGCCCCACATATCATTGCTCAAGCACAGGAAACTATTCTACAAGGCAGGAATTCCTGTCAACTGTAGCATCAGATCTAGAACAGAGAGATCTACAGCCTGCATAATGCTGAATAAGGAGCTTAGGGAAAAATAAACTGAAAATTACTGTATTTACAAACAGCAACCCATTCATTTTTGCCAATAAACAGCAAACTAGCACATAACAGAATATGACAAATGCATTCTAAAATATGTAAGTAACAAACACCCAATAAAATTAATCTATTGTCAGTGAAAAAAAAAAAAAAAATTGAAAGAAGAATGGAATCTGTTCTAGACAAAAAAAAAAATCATCTTTTCCCATGAAAGAAAAAGCAGCAACTAATAAATTTAATTCAAAATAGACAAAGTATTTCCTGTACTTACACTGCCTTTAGCCGAGTGTAAATGGCTATTAGAAATTGTAAAATGCTTAAAGAATGACTGGAGAGATACATTATCAGATATTAATTGACACCCAATATGCCCATAACAAATGTTGCAAGAGTCTCAGATGGCATACATAGGCTTCTGCAAAGCTGTAGGAGTTTTAGCAGTTTATTTAGCAATTTTCCATATTTTTTTTTCCCTTCACGAATTTCCCAAATTTTCCCTTTCCAAAACCAACACTTTTAATCCCTGTATTTGCAGATCACCGATTCACCAGAATGAGGCGTGTTTCCACATCTGTTGGGGAATTAGAATTAGGAACAACAGGTACATGTCTACATAATGCTGAAGTTGACAGCAATTTCTCTGCTGGCTTTAATGAGCATGAATGTCCTCCTCCTATCAACAGGGAACAACACTTGGCTGCTTCTCCACACACACCAGTTTACAGCAGTACATCAACATTTAGATAGGAAGATAAACCACTCTAAAGTACTTTCAAGACGATTTCTTATAGTTCATAGCAGAAAGCTCTTCCCCACCTTTTATTCTTCCAAAGCTAAACTACTCTAGAAAATAAGTAATTATATATACACCATACCAACATCTTAAATCTAATGGCCGTATGGAAATAGTAATTTTATTTGCTAATTTCTTATTGAAGTAAACTTACAAACAGCTACCAAAAGATTAAAACGCTACAGCCGTTTAGTTGAACCTCGAAAACAAATCTTTCAGTATTCAATGACTTACTCAACATGAAAAAACTGAGAACTCACTCCCATCAGTTCTGTTTTGGTTTTTAAAATAAATTGGTTCCAGAAAGCTGCCAAAATATTCGGTCGATAGGACTGTCTTTTAAAGCAGCTTGGCAAGTGTAAGGAAGAGAGAGAGGAGGTGGTACGTCATCTAATAAACATGCAACAGGACAATCTCTTAACCATATGGAAATTCTAGATAGTCAGATCTGAAAAGTTATATGACTCATTTTCAAAGCAATGTAATGGAAATGTTAGCAAACAAAACCCAAGACCATTCCAGCGTTAAATGAGGCTCTGTACCATTATCAACAAAGACCTTTGAACCCTGTCCAGTCATGGCAAGGAATGAAACCAGTTCCCTCTAATCTCCTTTGGGATATATTAAATTTCCTACTA